TATAGATTCTTCGAAATACTCGTATAAACATACGTAATCAAATAAATATTTGTTCATATTTTGTTTGAAATCTCTTAGTGTAGAAAGATTAAATAAAATGATTTTTTTTGAAATCGCTGATAAATATATAACATTGTCTAAATATTTCCAAAATTTAGATTTATAATGCTTGGCATTTTGTAAAATAATCTACATGTGAAAAAATATTTTAATTTTATGAAACTTAATACCTAACAAATAAAAAATAAGTCAATAAATATATATATAAGTGCGTATACCAGACCCCATGAGACTGGTTCCACATACATTCTTGGTGCAACTTCGTCTATAAATTTTTTTTTTCTTTTCTTAATTTATATATTATTTATTGAATGTTACATTTAGATCCTAACAATAAGTGAATCAAATCTTAAACTAATTTTATTTTTTCCCTAAGTCATGGCTTTGGAAAAACTATTGAATCATCAAATACTTCAAAATAAAATTAGATTGAGTCACATCTTAACGAAATCACATTAAATTAAATCAAATTAAATTAAATCACATTAAATTAATTCAAATTAAATTAAGTGAAGTTAGCCGATGTTAATTGTATCCTTCCTTTTTAATCGTTTGTGGTCTTTGTTCAGTAGGACCTTATTAGCTGTTTGGTTAGGGTGGCCTTCTAACTTTGAAAGGTACTCACGGCTGCATCGAGTAGCTTCTTCTATTACTGTTGATACGCCCAAGTCTCTATGAAGGTTAACAACATCCATCTATAAATGAATGAATGATAGTGCATGAGTTGTGTATACTCTCTCTGTTCGCTTGTCCTTTCGCAAACAATAGGTTTGTTCTCTCTTTGTTCCACATATTTTTACGGAAATTCAGTTTTGCAAAGACGTATTTGCAAAACTAAAGGAATAACAATTACAATCAAGTATATAGCTATTGCAATAGATAATCAAACGTGACGATTCTAATATGAGCTGATAATAAAAGGAATTGTTCACAGTGAAGGTCAGACAGATGGTAGACCCAGATTATTATCTGGAATCCAATTTCGATATTCCGGTTATGAGCATTTGACTATTAATTTTAGTAAAAACAGTAACGCCCAGTTTTTTTTTCACTAACGGTGAGAATGGAAAAGACAACATAGGTTAAATTTCAACCGCTGGCCGAATATAGATTGCAATTGGTTTCCTGTCAAATTGAGTTCCTGTCTTTTCAAACAAAACGAAAAAAAGTTGTAAAATATGTTGTTTTATATTAAATAAAAAGAAAACAAAATAAAACAATAATGTGTAAACAAGAAAAAGGTCATGAAGTTAGATAAAATCAAAACAGCATTTTTATTGTCACAATCATTCCGAGACATTTCAATAATTCCAGGGTGAAAAGGTTCCCAATAACGAAATTATGACAGCTAATATATTGTACAAAGTTTCGAGTGTAAAGTCTTCTTCTACATTATTTAATAGCACTAAAATAATTAACTAAAAAATTGTTAATTAAAAAAGCACATGAATTAAATAATCATTTTTCGTTTAAAAAAATAGGTAATACAATAGCAGATATATATTTGCTGTATAATTCGGTAGCTTAACAGAGTTATTAAGTTACTTTTTCGATTTTTTGAAAAGTGTTTTTATCAGCTTCTCTATATACATATATGTGTGTAATTATTTATTATAAATTGATATACATAATATATAAATAAATATATTATAAATTGTATAATACATATCACATGATACTACTATCCATACAATGTTTCTTTATTAAACGGAATAAATTCAAGAAATTATTTCCAGGTGTGTTATGAATGAAAGTCGGGAGTGCACATTATCGATATCTACTGAAATAAAAAAATTAACCCAAAAATCAAAACTCTACCGAAAAAAAAAAAATAATGTGGATCAATATATAATATGTACAGACTACTATGGAAGTTAACCACTTAAAGATACTGGCGCACTTCCCGAACATAGAACTTTCAAAAATAATCTTTATATATATCTTTATAATATATAGCTACTTGGAGCTTTACAGTGGCGCCTTTGTACTACTTCGACATCCAAAGTATAGTAAATATTCAATGAAAAACGTTTACACTCTTAAACACTCTGAGACTAAGAGGCTGAGTATTATTTGTCTTAGTATTATTGTTAATAAGCAACACTGTGAGAGATATTTGGAGTCAAGAACACGAAAAGGTGATTCATTGACTACCAATGTGTCCTGAAGAAATGTACAGTTTATTGCTGTTATTTGAAATTTGGACTGTCACCATCAATAGCACCCGAAATAAAAGCAGTAACAACTATTTATTTTTTGATGTGTCGATGAATATGTTCTAAACGACTTTCGGTTTCAATGAGATTATGTTATATGTTATATTATATTATTAAGGGCCTTAAACAGCCTATACAACTCATACAAATCAACAACGTAAATGACAGGTTTCTGAATCACTTGTTTCTTAATTGAATATGCTTCTGTTAACTATCATCCTTCAAAAATGATATTAAAGGATACCCTCAGTTGTAGATTCTGTAAAATGCAGAGTGAAATTTCCATCCAGAAAACGACTTTAGTACCTTTATTCGACTTTCATTAAATTGCATTAGATTTTGGATTTAGAAACAAGAGATATTACTAAGTTTGTCAACAGTCTTAATTTGTCCAGGTTAACTTAGGACCTCTTTTCAAGCAAAACACAGCGGATCTCATAGGTTGCAATGCACCTTTGTCTCATCTAATAAAAATAATTATAATACACTGTCAAAGAAATTAAGAAGTTATTAATAAAAGTATTTGATGACAATATGTTATCAGATACAGAGCTTCTTCATTTTCTCCTAAATGATTTCGGCGATTGACCGCCGAAAGATGTGTTTTGTGAAAAAGTTATGAATAATTGAAATCTTTTGATGCCATCTGTAAAAGGTTTCTGGAACGCATAATTACCCAAAATCAAAATTATCTACTAAATTAATGTACATTTAACTGAATTTGTTTTCTCAAAAATTGAAATGCCGCACTTTGTCGCAACACACCCTGTAAATTGATTTGTATGATGACCTAGAACTTATATTGTGAAGAAAAGTGTTTCTGTAATTTTGTCATAAAATTTGTGGTTATCAACTAGAGCAAGTTCTACTAACTCTAAATTTCTGTTATTAATATACAATAGCCACAGTGAATTTAAATTTTCTTCCATAATCCAATGACACGAATGCGTTCTTCTACCACAGACTTTTATCCAAGAAATCGTGCAATGTTGTACCCTAAAATGTATATCGATTTATCCGTCTTCTTATAGGGGTGTTTTAGAGCACATTTTAAACACCGCGTTTGTGACCTAATGTCATTTGTTCTAATAACCAACAAAATGTTGACGCCGTATAAGTTGTATACATTACGATTTATCGATTAGTATAACATACAAATTGAAGTCTAATAATAACCTGTAACTGAGCTCATATAATTACTAACGTTTTTATTCTTAGCGTTTGAACTTAAATTTGTTACAAAGGTTTTTTTTAGAGTTTGTGTGTTAATAGCATTAAGAGGCACTGATTAAAGATGAACACTCTTTATAAGTATTCGTTTAATAGGAATTCCATTAATCAACTATATATGCAGAGTATTGAAGGCCATCGTTCAACTTTTAAGAAAGCACATCACTTACAAAAATTGTCAGTGTCTTTTAAGAAAGTGGTAAACTTTTAAAAGACATAAGGAATTGCGATTAAAGATTTATTGGAGATGGTAACAGCTCGCATCTCTACTCCTTCCTTCTACTGAAAAACAATGCAATCTACATCACTTTTTTTGTAAAACCCCTTTTTTATTTAAAATATGAAAGAATGGATCTGGGAAATCTGTCCGTCGTTAAAAAGAGATAAGGAGTTTATAATTTAACTACTCAAGTATCAAACTCGAGGACTGTAGTCTGAGTCTTGAAAGGACGGCGCAAAAGTATAAATAATTTTTTACGTTGTCTTCATCAAAAAAAGTAACCATAAACTAAACTCGAGAACTCTAGTCTGAGTCTTGAAATGACGGCGCAAAAGTATAAACAATTATTCACATTGTCTTCATTGTCACCTAGACCAAATATGTGTCTGTTTAAGGTTACATTAATTTAACGTTCCTTTATATATCGTCATTTCGACAGTAATGATTTTATTCATATGATTCATCACACATAATGGCTAGTTTCACAAAAAATTGTGGCAGGTTTAGGTGACGAGCTAACTTTTTCGTTTTCTAATATTCCAGAATGACCAGAAACTCATTGAAGAGCTAAGTTGTTGGATTTTTGCATTCATGGATTAGTGTTGATAACGTGATAAATTTGACCAGGATATTAAGCGCTGGTCATTTGGAACTACTGTGATCTTCTTTATCCATAACTTTTAAGATTGCAAGCAATACTGCTTAAAAACAGATGCATACAAACCTAATATAGGCAAAAATATTTGTACCAGAATCGCTGATATTTTCCATGTCATCGAGAAGCTTGAGAAACAGAATCAGATGGTACTAAGTGATAACTCCATGATTACAGTTATGATTTGTTAAGCCATATATTTTTTATTTTGATCACTATTAACAATAAAAAAATTTTAGCCTAATCTAACATATATATAAAAATATGTATCTATAGACAAGAACATTATTAGCAAATGTTTGTGTTTGATTAAAAAGTGATAGAGTATTTTGGGTCAAACTAGACGGTCGGATAAATAGTCTTATCTTATAAAATTAAACAACACACCTTTTTTTTAATGTAAATGCCTCATCTCTGAAATCTCTGAAAGGTGGAATGTTTAGCACAGAAATAAATCCCTTTAGAGACTAAGCAATATAATTGATCAATATTCTTAGTTAAGCTCGTTATAATATTTTTTAGAAAAAAACAAAAATCAACACTTTATTTCACTTTTTTGCTTTGATTAAGCAAGTTATGTGTATTAATCGCAAATAATTTAAATACATATCATTTTTAAATACATTAATAATTACGTTTTTTTATTATTTTCATATATTTGATTGAATACAATATAGCTATTCGATTGTCTCTACCTCGTCATCGCTTTCGTCGTCTGAAGAGGTATCTAATTTGATTTCTGTAAGTTCTTGTTCTTCATGCGTTACCACTGTATCTATGACATTTATGGGTTCTAAAATTTGTGTATTACTTGGCTTAGTTTCACGTTTTGGTTCGCTTACTTCTCGTCTCATTTCGGTATTTTCTGTTAAACAGGAAGGATTTTCACCATACATTGGATTATTAAATGCACGCTCTCTAATTGCACCACTTTCAGCATTATAGCCTACTATAATGCTGCTGTGAGCGTCTGTGTCTGCGGCGCCGCCTGTAGTATTATCGAAACGTGAAAATACCATAGTAGACCGCAGAATTAAAGAACGCCACCGATTGGTGTCATGAATCCAAACTGGAATACGGTTTAGGTAACGATTGTTTGGAGCATAATGTGCGAATATAACTAAACCCACCAATATAACAAACAAAATGCACAGTATAATAAGTAGAACTGATCCAAATGTAATATTGGGATTATAGGGACGTCCAGCATATTGTATATTGTGTAATTTAGATTTAGCTATAACTTTGTTCCAATCCGTGACAGCGTTCAACTTCTTCACAAATTCTGTGCTTTTTTCGGTATAATCATCGCGATCAACTACAATCATTTGCAAAAAATATCCGCTCTCCCGCGAATTCACGTAGCTTACATAATAATCCAAATCATCTTCCAGTTTCTGCTGTTTGATTGCTTCCGATATAGTTTTGCGAACTTTATATATGGTAGCATCATCGCATTGTTCTACATTAAATTGATATACAGCTCCGCATATAGGGCAGCAACTTAGCAGTGGCTTAACAGGCACTAAGCAACGAGGACGTTTGCATGTTGGTAAAACATTATGACATATTGGTTCAACCATGGTTTCAAAGTCTTGATGACAGCCACATATATCATTGCGAAAATATTCTACCCTTAATCCTTCAGTATTTTTAAATAATAGAGCTCCAAGGTTATTAATAATTAAATTCTGCAAATAATCTTTAAATATTAAGACACCTGCTAAGTTGAATTGTCCTATACGTAAAAATTCGGTATTTTCCAAATCAATTGATAAGGGGCCATCACTTTTTATTATAACGGAATCGTTGCTGCACGGTACGCGTTCCATATCAGGTATAGCTTTATTTAGAGTTAAACCTGTCGAAGATTTCCAGTTTTGTGGATCTAACCATTTTCGTGTTTTTGGTACCTTAATATAGGCTCTGCTATTTTTGCTATTTTGACAACTACGTTTATTAGCTCCAGCACCAAAATAAATTGTTGAGTCCTGACTTAACAGCAGTGCGCCTTCAGTTGGTAATACAAAACCTTTTACATCTACTTCTCGTGGAATAGGCATGATAGCAGAGAAATAAGCTGGAAAAACAACTTCCTCCAAAGGACATGGCAAGTGTTCCGAATCCCATGCTGCTGGATTATTGAACCCAGGATTTTCTACGAACCATTTTGTGCAATTCACTGATACTGCGTAAATAAGAGATACTGAGAAAATGAAATATATTTTTATCATGTCGCGTTAAGAGTGGTTGTAAGCAGACTAGATTTAAACATCATTTTATGTGCAGAATCAAATTGAAATTCAGGGGCGTAAATCAATTTTAATAAATGTAAAACACTTCAAATTTCTGTGATAACAATTATACATACGAAAAAACAAAAACTTTGTTTTAGTTATTTAAAGGTCATGATAAATTCTTAACGTCTTAAAAAGCAGATACCACAATTTGCGACAATACAATGTCTGTCTTCTTTTGTAGCTGGTTCGCTACTTTGCGCGTTCTTTTGAGATATTCAGTTTTATTCACCACACTTGAAGTTGAATATGAAGTTTGATTATTTAATTTTTACATACAAATACGATTCAATTATTTAGTTCCAAATTTCTAGTAGCAGGAATCGATAAGCGCTTGACAAAGATAATGACAATAAGAAATAACTCATATAAAATTTTTTGTAACTATTATTTATAATAGTAATTTTTAAATATTAAATTTTAATTAAATTAATTTAATGGCTTTTACTATTAATTTAATTAGTAACAAGAATGTGACTATTGATTAATAGGTGAAATGGTGATTAAATATAATACATGTGTTTCCACTGGCCACTAGTATGTTTCGATAGACCAGTTAACTTACTTGGAAACGTATTACTATTGAAATACACTATTATTTTAAATTCCATTACAACATTAACTATTTGTTTTTTTTATCTAAAAATGAGTACAATTTATTACAATCGGTACTGACTAACATCGATACTGCATCCATAAAAAGTAGTGACAATATTATTAATACAATAGTATTCATAAACACATCAATGATTCTCAAATAAAAATCTGCTTCTATTGTGTACAGGAGCGTATAAAAAGACTCATTTAAGGGGATTTTTAAAATGTATTTCAAATTTGAAACATTCAATTGAATAAAAAGAGAATATCTAGTGTAACTATTTTGAAATATTAAAAGGGGTGATGAGTTTGAAGCCTAAGACTTCCGTGTGAACGCGATTGATTGCGTATCGTATTAATCGTATCAGTTTTCACTATGGTAATTTTCTGAACAAATCCTTTGCAATAGTAATTCTATTTATGTACATAGTTGTATTTAAAAATGTAGTAAAGAGTTACTTGAGTTTTATTATATTTTCATTCGTGTACGCAAAATAAAATAAAGTAACAGAGTTTAAGAGAGCGAACTAGTATTGTATTTAACAAATTAAAAGATACCGGTCAGAGGGGGAATTTTAAAATGTAATAGCAAAAAATTAAAGGACTAATATGTATCACTTAATTTATATTCAAGTAAATTTTTGAACTTAAGTTACTACTGTAAAATCAGCTCCAGACATTTTCAAAGATATTGCACGAGACAGCATTTGAGGAAGCATAATCAAATGCTGTTTTCAATTGGTAAATCTGGATAACTTTTTCAATCTAGATTCACTTTTAGTGCAATTTTCATAAGATCTGTTTACAAGTAAACACAAGTAAAGTACAAACTGAGAGCGTAACACAAATAAAGTGTCAAATTTCGCTCTTTACACAGATTTTCATGGAACAGATTTTTCACACACCAACACAAAAAGTCTGTGTAGCATTTTTAAATTTCGACAGAGATGTTACGCTCTCAGATGCTCTCATTTACTCCAAAATTTGCTCGTAAAACGCACTTGTATATACACAATGTTTCTCAAAGTTACTACATAAACTAATTAAGAAATTCGATTATTTCCTAAGATCACTGATGATGAGTACTTGGCAATAATCGAAACAGCGTTGTATAGTTAGACAAATTTCAATAATTTAAATAAAATTTTTGTCCTTGTCTTTTCTTTGTGAATCGAACCCATCTAACTTTTAAATACTTTCTTTTCCTCATAAAGAGGCGTTACTCGCGGCAAGAAAAAATTAACATTAATTTATTCTTTTTTGTACATATGGAGCATCATATACTGTTGAAAAAATTTGCTGCTACGAACAATTTTGCAGACTTGTTTGCAAATAGGTTAAACTCTCTAACAATGTCATCGATGACTGTCTGTAGGGCGCTTGTAATAATCAATTTTCATTAGTTTGTTAGTCGTGTTAATTACAATGTTAATACTTATTTTTTTCGAAAGCGTGAGTTAAAAAACATAATTACCTTTATCGCAAAAACGCTGCATGTGATTATCGCGTTACTTTACTGAATTATATTAAATTTGCTTTTTTTGTTTTTTAAGTGCATTACTTTTTTTAACAACGCAAAACAGCTGATTTTACGCGCCTCCCTAATTTGTAAAGTTTGAAAAGTATTGTAGTTGTCAAATTTGTGCGTTTTGACAAGTTCTTCTTTATTTTTTTCATATTGTAGTCGTTCATTGATTTATTCTCTTTTTTCGGTTATTTGTTGTTTAACAGCAAAGCGTAAGAGTTCAATAATGTGTTAAAGGTTATCAATAAGATAATAAATCTTTAAACTTTGAAACATACTAGTGGTATAAAAATTTCATTACATTATCTGGAAGTGCAGTTCCTGAAAAAGTGACGAAGAAATGACGAAGACGCATCATAATCATAATTCTGAGCATGCTGCGAAGAAGATATATAACGGCGTTTACAAGGCGTTGCGTGTGCTGATGCACTTGACTGCTGCTGTTCAATTTAGCTATGCCATACACTACGACTACACCTATGTAAAATTTCCGGTATCTGATGCTAATATGCACAGCACATTCGGCGGAAAATTCAAATATCTTACTTTTCTGGATGCGGTAAAAATTTTTAACAATTCGAGTTATTACTTGGATTATAGTACAGCACACATAGTCTTAATTATTCATATTAGTTGATTATCATTATCTTATCTCATTGGGTCTTAAAATAGAGGAATAATCAAGTTTTAGTGCTTTATATGTGTGTGACTTCCAATTGCTTATGTGCCCTAAATTATATAAACAAAGTTTTGACTTTATTGTGGATAAGCATTTGAGTAAGATTTTGCGGATCAAATTTCAGCAATAAGAAATGCATGCTGGTGGGCACTTACAAAATCAAAACTATACATATGAGTTCCATTAATCTGATATTTGCGAATGCTATTGACTTATAAAAAAACCAAATTAATTAATTGGAAAAAAACGCATTAATTATGTCAATTTAGTTTAATTTTTTTATAAATTTAATAATAATTTTCTTATTTTACGGGTTAAATAATAAACTTTTTAAAAAATTATTTATTTGTTTGCTTTAAAAAGATTTTATTTTAACCGATATTTCGACTATAATCTATAGTCATCATCACGGTACTATAAAATTTTAATACAGTGTAACAGTATTTTAGTGCATATCACAAAAAAACAATTATAAAATAATTAACATCGAAACATGAATTATATATATGTATATAGAAAACAATTATACGATACTATGACAATATATATAAACATAAATAAATAAATTTATAAAAATGTGCACATTAAAAGCAGTTATTTAGGAGTACATATTCAGAAGCTCATCTTAATGGCATTATAATCTGGTTATTAGTTATTAATGTCCAATACTAGATACCACTAGGTACTAGATATTCTAGTTTTTGTGAATATAGATTATCAACTAATGTTAGTTATTCTGATTCTTATTTTAAAATGTAAGTCTTGATTAAGTTAAATTCATAGCTTAAGAACTTTTCCCCGATCGTTTATGACACTATATATAATGTAAATATTACATATTAAGAAACTCTTAAAATATTTTAATTTGTATTTATATTTAAAATTTATTTGTCCAACAATTTAAAATATAAATAAATAATTTTATTAAATTTTTATATTATAGATAGTGCAAACTTTTTATTAAGCAGTTTGCCTTATAAATGACTTATTTTTATTTGTATTTATATTTAAAATATATTTATCCATTATTTTAAAATATAAAGAAATAATTTTATTAAATTTTAATTTTATAGATAGTGCAAGTTTTTTATTACACAGTTTGCCTTATTAATGACTTTGTGGGCACCAACGAAGTTGCACCGAAGCATTTGCCGGCAATACGGAAGCTGAAGGATTATGTTATGGCAGCATTTGCTTTTCCATTAGCAGTGAATGTAGCTGTTACTTTTTGGTCACTTTATGCTATAGACAGAGAGCTTGTATTTCCAAAAGTATTGGATGCCGTTTTTCCAAGGTTAGTATTATACATAGATGTAATTATCTTGTATACTAATAAAATAAATTTTTCGGTTTTTATAGCTGGCTTAATCACATAATGCACACTAACATACTAGTTTTCATCATACTAGAAATGTTTACTTCATTCCGTGAATATCCAAAACGTAAAAGAGGTATTACTGGTCTTGGCATATTCATGATCACTTATTTGATTTGGATACATGTTGTTAAACACTACTCTGGCGTATGGGTATACCCAGTTTTGGAAGTCTTACAATTACCACAACGCATAGTTTTCTTTGTTGCCATATTAGCATTCACGGTTTGTCTTTACTTTCTTGGCGAGTTTCTCAATGGTGTTGTATGGGCCAAAGAAATTAAAATCTTAAATCGTAAAGCTAAATAAAATCATTCCATATGCAAAAGATCAAATATTGACATATGTGCATTATTAAAAGGATATACCTCTGTCTATTAGAACTAAACAATAAATTCGGAAATCGAATTTTCGTATTAAATTTATTATTCGGCGGTTCCTATAATATTTGGAACATTTAAGATTCACGATTAAAAAAAAACTGGATTTAATTTATTAGTAAATAATTATAAAATTTAGATTTTTGTATTGTAGATTTTAATTTTTATTATTGCATAAATTTTTTGAATTATATTTTTTATGTATAAAGCATCAGTTATGTAATTTTAACTAAACATTTTAAATGAGTCATATCAGTATACTTAAATAATAATTAAAAATTTATTTAGTACTGAATTTCGTTTTTTAAAAATTACAAAATTTAAATTAATAAAGTGAAATGAATGTTAAAACTTAATTGAAGTAGTCAAAATACATTTATTGATTGTATTACCGTAAAAATGAATACTCCAATAAAGCATTTTAATTTTTTCATTAAATAAAATATTAAAAAACTTATAAACTTTTTTTTTTGTTTTAAAATCTTATAATACATTGAATAAAATGGTTTTTGTTGAGGACTTTCTAATTACAAACGGGAACAATAATTTCAGAATTTTTCATTCAGAGCAAAGTGAGACAGCTACAAATACTGCGATTAAAAATCTCATTTTCATCATTTGCGGGCAGACGATATTTTATTACATTAGAAGGATCTATTTTTGTTGAAATGCTTGGGTATTTTTGGAAACCAGCAACAGCCATAGTGTAAGACTTAAACCCACTAAAACCAAAGTGATAGGGTATGTTAAGATGTATCCTTATATTACCAGTTCCACTTGTCACCGGTACCTAGAACTGCATGGTTGGCTCGGATCTTGCTATATTATCCTCAATATCATTACCAGCAATTTCAATATAAAATATTATATGTTTTTGGCTTGAGAGTTGCTGTAGTGTGTCACAACATTCGCTTAGAAGTCTTAAGAATAATATTCATGAGGTTACTTAATTGTTACTTTACTATCTCTATATTTACAGATATAATTGCTTGTAAAGAGTTTAAAACGAGCATATATAAAATAAAAAACAGTTAATTAATCTCCTATTTGAACATGATCTTCGAGTTCTACATTAACTACTTTTTAGGTTTTATTGCTTTATCTCGAACATTGGCATCTGATGATGTGTATTGGGCTTCGATTTTATTAAATATATATTGATTATAGTTCTATATTACTCTTATAACTAAATTGATTACTTGCCTAATGGCATGATCAACTAAAAAGAAAATAAGATGTTGCTTATTTTGGTTGTCAGAAAAACTTTTGGATATATGGATAGACCCATAAGCGGACTTGTCGATATACAACATAACATTTAAGAGTATTTTGAAGAGTTTTCAACAAAGAATATTGTTTCTATGGCTTCCATGAAATTGGAATCATCAATATTCTAAAACTTGTACAACGATTTTTTAATAATTTTATTTGAATTGATAAATATTAACTGTGCTACTCGCAATGCCATTGACGTATGAGTGAGATGATGATACTAAATGTTTTTGAACTAAAACGGACTTGCACTTTGTACTGTCAAAAATACTACTTAAGAAATTAAGAGAGGAATATGTTTGAAAATAACGATAATATTGCATTGATTTAACTTACATAATTTAAGTAATTATTTAAATAAAAAAATTGAAATAAAAATTATTTTGTTTCTTCTTCTACTGCTAGTTTATACTGCTTATGCCTCCACGTATAATTGTCAGCAATTAAGAATATTTCATGTCTTGTCAAAGTATTTTGACCTTTGGAGTTTTCTTGTAGTTATAATTGGTAAATGTATATTTCCCATACATGGGAAAAGTACGATAACTAAAACTATATTTTTTATATAGTATGTACGTTGTTTCTGGTAATGATAAATTATAGTACATTTCAGTTATAAAGTCTCGAATTGTGTTTTCAAATTGTAAATCTTGGGTTACATTTTTTAATAAAGGTTAACTTTTAGTGCAATCTTCATTTTCGATTGATAAATCTCGAGTGAAATGTATAATACTCGAGATTAATTTAAAACTACTTATTTTTCTAGAGTAGCAAAATTAGCATAAAATCAACAGCTTTTTTATATGATTTGGCGTTATCGATTGGTAAATCTGTATTCAATTTCGATTTTACTCTATAATATTATTATTGAATTAAATAATGTTCACACTAACATTTTTTCTGTATAGTTGCACACAACAGTCATCTATTATTATTATTATTATTATTATGCTATTATAACATTATGCTATTATATAATGTTATGCTATTATTTTGATTTTATACCTTTTGTCAAAACGAATGTTAAATACATAAACAATCAAATTGGGCACATGTGGAAACAAATCACACTTTTTTATCTGTCGAAACAAATAAAACAGCTGTTAATTTCAGGGTAATCTTGTTACTCTGGCAAAATATCTAAAATGTTATAAATTCATTTTGAGTGTTATACATCAATGTCGAGATTTATATAGATTTAACAAACGAAAATGAAAATTGCAATAAAAGTGAATCTCAATTAAAAAAATGCCCCAGATTTACAAATTAAAAACTCCATAACACAATTACAAAAACGTTAAATTATTTTAAAAACCTTCGATTGGGTCAAATATTTAAATTTAGATTGTTAGGCCTTGTGCGCGTTCGAGTAAATTGATGGTAAATTGAAGGAAATAGTAAATTATGTCGGTATGGCAGCAAATGTTGGTATTTACCAGAATTTCAAGTAGGGTGAATTAGATAAAAATTAGGTAATACCATTGTGAAACTATTGTAAGATGTTCAATAAATAAATTTAAAAACTTTTAACCAAAAAAAATATATAAGTGCAATAAATAAATAAATAAATATTTACATAAGTATAGTGCAAAATATCCCTAGAAAATTTCAATTTACTTTACCTCAATTTACTCGAACTCGCACACGGCCTAAATAAGTAAATTTATATTGAGCCAAATATTCACACAATTTTTATTATATATCACAAGTACACATTGTTATATTATATTTTTAAGTTAAGTTATTATTGTGTTGCTCATCCCTGGTTTTGTTGAAATAAAGCATGAAAAAAGCTTAAAAGCTTTAAACAAAAAACAGCTGACAAGTTTTTGGTTGTTTATCGCGCCGGCACACGTCGTGTTTTCGTATAGACACTTTGGTGGGATTTGCTTCGTACGATTTCTTCAGTTGTACAGATTTGTGTATAATTGCAAATTGGTAAAGAATTTTTAAAAATCACAATTACACATTATTTAATTGTTTTTAATCGCTTGTTACAGTAATAAAATAAAAATATCGCTCGCTTGTTGAAAAGAATGGCAAGAACTAAGAGAAAACGCATTAAGGCTCCACGTCCACCGCCTCCTCCTCCACCAATTGAGATAGCTGAGCAACAATTAGCTAATAGCAATTCGGCCTACACTCAAGGTGTTTTCAAATATCTCCGAGTGTTGATACATGTACTAGGAACTGCACAGTTTATTTATGGTATATATTTTCATTGGTTTAATGTGAACTGGCCGCAATTAAAGGAGGAGGAAGAATTAAAAACCCGATGGGGTGGCAAATTTAAATACCTCACCTTCTTAGATGTAGTAAGTTCAAACTAAGCTTAATTACAAATGCACCAACAGTTTTTTTTTTTTTTTGTTTTTATTTCGTTACTCTTTAGATATTACAAGCCATATATCACTTTTTGGCACTGGTGAACGACATGTTTGGCACAAATGCTGTTAATCCAGAACCCATGCCAATATTGCGTAAAATTAAAGACTACATGTTTGCAGCTTGGGCTTTTCCTGTGGCACACAATGTTAGTATAACATTTTGGATAATATACGCATATGACCGCGAGCTTATATTTCCAGCGGAATTGGATGCAATATTCCCTGCGTAAGTATTTACATATTTTACAAAAATGAATAGTGCACAATTTTTACTATTGACTTGCGACTTTTTTATTTAAAAATTCATAACATAAATAAGTTCTTAGTGATATAATATTATTATTACTATTATTATTGTTATGGGATGTGACACTGTGACCGTCGAGCCTATTGTGTACCTCTTCTGGGTTTAGAGTAGGTCTCTAAGCTCTGTTGCGTCAATAAAAAGTAGTATAGAACCTACTTAACAGAGTTTTATTACCTCTTGCATTCCCAAGACCCCATTCCATATGTGCATTAGCGCAGAGCATTCTAACAGCACACTCATTCTCTCATTCGACTCCTCATTCTCTTCACAGAATCTACAGTTTGTTTTCTTTGTAGTTGTTGCAATGGTACTCAATAATTAATGTAAGAAGTGGTTACAAAATAAACTACTGAGTACCAACTATACAATGTGTATGTACTCGTACACCCATAAATTATGAGAATTTGATATATCATATAGGCGTATGTATACAGTATGTATACAGTATGTATACAGTATGTATACAGTATGTATACAGTATGTATACAGTATGTATACAGTATGTATACAGTATGTATACAGTATGTATACAGTATGTATACAGTATGTATACAGTATGTATACAGTGGTACTTTTATGACCCCAACCAGACTCGATGCATCACTATTGAATCATTTCATATGATGGTATAGAATTTTCGTATTAATTGTTAAGACATTTTTTTTGGCAATCAACGCAACTTCTCTTATTCCAATTTTTGCAAATTCTACAAAATTAAAAGCCACATATCAGGAAAATAATCTTAAGATAATCGTATTTTAAATATTGCCAAATTATAAATAAAATAATAAAAATAAATTTTTGAACTTATTAAGTGCGGTTATCACCAATTTATTAAATAGTTTTTGTATCAAAAATACTTAAGCTCACCAATTTTATTAAACAATGACTGCCGCCGCATTCTACTCAAAGGCAGATTCTGGAGGTTATGTCCTATTTCTTTTGTAAATATGAACCCAAATTCTAAGCGAAGAATAGGGTTGGCACCCATATAGTCGTTTCCTAGGTCGTTATCTAGTTTGCATATGAATACAATCCAGTCCTTAGTCTGGAAGAAATAAAGAAAATAGTCTGGAATATTTGAAGAAATATTTTCTCCACAGTATTATGTGGATATATTATGTGGTATTATGTGGATATAATAAGATAAGAGATAATAAAGTTAAAAGCTTCAACGTTTTGGGATTTATTATATTAAGAAAAATTAAACATTCCAACTAGAGTCAAATTTTACATCTACGTACAAATAAATGATAGCAACAAGTTGTTGTTGTTGTGTGGTAACCCGCGGAGATATGCTGTTGCAGTTCGTTTTGGGAATGGTGAACGGCACCTGATCGTCAAACTCGACGACTGGCTTTTAGAACCGTTGGTGTTTGTAAGAAAACTATTCCACTTTCAATTCTGATATTTTTAAAACTGAAGTATGTCGATATACCATATAGTGTTGTGGAAAGTGGTTCATAATAGCCGTCTTTACTAAAAACGGCTATCACATGAACGTTTAAAGTCGTTTCATGTTGTTGTTGTAGTCCACCGGGATCTGAAAAGCACATAACACGTAAGGATTACAAGACGAATACATGGGTAGGGAAGTGGAGGTGTGGGGTTAGAGTTAAGGGGATTATGGGATGGGGGAGGGGGAAATCGTTCCATAAATCTAAATAACAAATCATAGCATATAATTTTGAAAACACTTTGTATAAGTAAAATTCAATTCAAGACATTATCTCTTCTTGGGTGATATATAAACAACACGGTATATGATATGAAATTATAAAAATAAAAAATATACAATAGATATAAGAATGTGCACTACTAACATATTATATTTACTTTGAAATTAATAATTTTATATTACTTACAGTTGGTTAAATCATATAGTACATACAAATGTATCAATGTTGGCTATTTTGGATGTCTTCACCTGTTTCCGGCAATATCCAAGTCGTTTTGCTGGTATTAGCGGCACTGTTATATTTATGCTTTTATACATAATATGGATGCATATTGTACGTTTCTTCTCCGGTGAGTGGGTTTATCCTTTACTGGAAGTAATTAACTGGCCAATGCGCATAATTTTGTTAAGCTCAATGGTTGGTTTTAGTGTGCTTTGCTATTTGTTTGGAGAGTATTTGAATCTAAAAATTTGGGCTCCAGAACATAAGGCTATTGAGATGAGGAATAAACATAAAATTCACTAAATTAAATATCAAATCAAATTAACTTAATATAATTACCATTGCCGTTTTTTTAAATGTTGTGTCTCTGTGTCTCTCTGTCTGTTTGTTAAATGTAATTTGAAGTAATTGTAAACAATAGTTGTGAACATTTTATGTTTTAATGGTATATCCACGTTAAGCCATTTAATGGTTTAAATTTTAAAGCCCACTAAGCCAAATCGAGTGAATTTAATAAGAGAATAAAAGTGCTTGTAGTGAATTTATATAAACGAATTTCTTGTCTATATCATTACATAGTGTTAAGATAATATCATATACATTATTATTTAGGATTAATGTTAGAATAAAGTAAAAAAGTTCATACTATATTTACTTATATTGTTAAATATTATAATATAATTTTGATTTCAAATGAATGATATAATAATACTCGTAGTTTGGATTTGCTTATATATTGAAATTAAGTTTTTTATTATACCGAAATTTTTGTAGATTTAAATTTTAATTAAATCTACTCTTCTGTATTTACTACTTATTAATTTTACTTACTCCATATCGATGTGTTTTCCATACTGATTCAAAATCGTAAGTATAGTGATTGTTGTTGTAGCCTGTTGGAACTTGCTTCTGTAGCCCCTTTTGCAAGGTGTTGATCATCGATGTCGACGAGTAGCTCCGGAAAGTAGACCCGACCGTTCTTGGATCTCGCAACTGATTTATAGTGATTGGTAATCCACAGTGTTGTAATGTTAGATTTAAATTCTTATTCCAAAAGGTGAACTGATGTATGTTAATATCATTTATTTGTTAGATATATAAGGTAAAGAACCCATTCACTTAAATGTAAAACCCAAAACTAAATGTAGCTGATTGGTAAAGTTAAAAAAAAACAGTCACCACAATTGTTAGTAGGTAACAGAGTTAATAAAGTTAGTAAAGTTCGTAACAGAAATTTAAAAGATTTATAATTTATAAAGATTAATGTATTAATATCAGAATATTAAATTGAGATGTGGAAAAACACATATAAATAACATATATCAACAAGTCCCTTTGGGAGGTGTTGAACGGCAGTTGGTCGTCGCTGAATTTGAGTGGCTCCGGGACATAGACCCGGCCGTTCTTGGAACCAATATTAAATTGAAGTTGTTTTCTGTGTAGCCGGATATTTTGTATCGATACAGTGCGATTATTTTTAGGACAGTTTTTCTTTTATTAATCCAATGAAATGTAAGATAATCCAGAGCTTCAGAATTGTATTGAAAGATATTTTTGTGGTTTATTTAAATTCAATGTTGTACCTTTTAGTATTTGCTTATATCAAACTGAAGTTTTAAAAAACACTTCCCGAACTCTGATCCACGAATTGCAATCTTCTTTCCCTTCAAAGCCAATTTTATTATACTAAAAGACCACCTCAAACCATCAAAAAATATAAAAAAAACTAATAAATAAATAAAAAATATATAAATAAATAAATAAAAAATATAAATAAAAAATATAAATAAATAAATAAAGAAATATAAATAAATAAATAACAAAATATAAACAAATATAAAAAATAATAAAATATAAATAAATAAATAAAAAGAAAACATATAATAAGCTTTAAGTCCACGATGCCATAGTTTTTCTTGAGTTAACTTAAAATTTTTAATTGTATTTTTGCTTATATTAAATAACTAAACAAATAAATTATAAATAAATGCATATAAATACGATATTAATTTCCGCAGTTCATACCTAATATATGGTATATACAATATTTAATATTTTTTTAGTCATGTAGTAATTTAGTCATGTACTTAAGAGATCGCAAAATAAATGCAATTCTTGTATGTGTTTTATATGTGAATATTGTTTTGTTGTAATCCATGAAGATTTGTTAATATAATCCCTGTTGAGAGCGTGGATCGTCGATTCACCGTGACGAAAGATGAGTAGCAGCTTCTGAAACCGGTATCATATAAATCCCTTTCTTTGATTAGTATAATCTACTAATTTAAATTAGTATGGTAATACCCCAACGGAAACTATGAGAGTGACATTTCCTCGTCGTAGAAAAGTACTATTAGGGTATGGACTCAGTTGCGATTAGAACATTAAAATGATGCATGGAATTATATTACATTTGATAGGGTTATATGACTTTTGACTTTGAATCACAGACCAGACTTTTCGTAGACTATAAGATATTGTTAACTGAATATTATTGCTATTAGTTCGAGGATTTCTTCTTTTTATATTGTTTACACTAAATTGTTGGATATCACTTTAAGAAGATTATTTATTAAATAATTAGATTTGCTGCTTATTATCGTTATACTTCCCTTAGGCCATGTCCCTTTTCACATACTATTGTTTAAAATTTATTTATTCTTATTTATATATATACTCGTATTTCAAATTTAATAAGTTGTTGTAAGGCAAAGTTGTTCTTAATAAAGCAATGAGTGAAGCAATAATTTAAAAATTGGATATATACTTGTATTATATTATTGATCATTCAATTAACACAAAATTATTATTAATTAATATTTGCTCAATATATGTATATCGTTTTAAGAAAAAAAGTTTATCATTTTTGCTCTTTGACTTCCATAATGTGTAAAAAAAAAATTTGAACAAAAAAATTAAAGATATTATTTATTACTTATACATTACTTATTTGTAAAATATATCCAGAGATGGAATAAAGTACACTCCATACTAAAAATAGTATTATCTTTTATTATATATATATATATATATATATATATATATATATATATATATACAGTCAAACTTCCATAACTCGAAGTACCATTTTGCAAAGGAAAGGTTCGACTTATGGAGATTTTAAGTTAAAGAATTGTATGTAATTTGCTCTATATATATATATATGCATGTATATCTTTTATAACTTTTACTAAATCTTTTTACTATATCTTTTACTATATTTGTAAAATAAATAGTCACATTTGAATTATGTTGAAAAGAGAAATTCCAAAAACTTTAATGCTTTCCAAAATAATAATTGTACATACCTCGTAAGAAACATTAATATATAAAATTTATATATTTGAAGTATATATTGACATTTTTTATGTTTAAAGTAAATTTTTGTCTAAATACGAAAGTTATAATTGGTGGATTAATATTAATATAGAAAACAATTTTGTTTGAATTTATTGATTCACAATTATTAAAATAATGGAATATATAATCGTGTTGTTTTTTTTTAGTAAAAAAGAATAAAACAACTCATGTTCTCAAAAAAGAAAAATTATTATAAAAGAAGTTTTATAAGTTTATAAAATATTAATAGAATTTAGTTGATTTGCCTAGTCACATTGCTTACGAGTTTTTTTTTATCCAAAAACGCTCCGAAAACGCACTAACGTCAGACTAACTCTGCCGCAATTACGGTAAAATATGTAAAGAACTGGACGCGACGGCACCGGTGCGAAACCTGTTCCAAACCAGTAATTCTCAATCAGCAATAAAATCTTTGCTTTTCTGATCTTTTTCTATACCATTTAATTTAGAAGCAAAATTGGATCCTTTTAAAATATGGTATTTCCCGTATTTTTCCGTTTTGGGTTGAAAAGCACTGATTTAATGTATCTTACAATCGCAAATACGGCAGAATTATGCTGACCCCTGTTTTCAAACGCTTGTCTGCAATGGGGACTAATTTAATGTAATATATTTTAGATTTATATATATTTTCGTTTTTAAGTAATTTTCAAACTCAAATGGCGAAGTAAATGGGATAACTATTTTTATTGATTTTATTTAAAAAAAAAATTGTATTTAAAACATTGTATCTTATACTCGTTTAAGAATATAAAAATAAAGTAAATGTATTAGCAAATATAGATGATTTTATTAAAATACTATTTATTATATAAAATACTATATTATTAACAAACAACAACAGTGCACATTAAAAACATTTCCTAAACGTTTTGTTCGATAGAGACTAAAATTCCCTACCTTTGTTAAAAACCGATCGTTTGTGATTGTTTTTCGGAGGTTTTTTAGAGGTTCGTCATAAAGAATTGTATGTCCGATGAGTGCATTAAAGCGCAATTTATGAAGGTAAGCAAACGAAGAGATTAACAGCAACAGATATAAAAAGCCTTAGATATGAGTAAGGCAGAGTACGTCACAAAGTCGGCAGTAGTTTTGTGCGTAACGAGAACAAAAATATTGGAGAGTGTCAAATCCCGAAAACTGAAGTACTTCTCTCATATCTAGAGGCCTTCATTACTAAAGTTAAACATTGAAGGCAGGATTGAAGGAAGATATGGTCCTAGTGGATGAACGATATCGTGACTGAAAAATCCATGGCAGTGCCTTATAAAAAATACAATATTTCTTTTTTTACAAAACTGTTGAGAAAACAGAAATTGTTGGCAGTCAGACGATGAATAAGACAACCAACGCAAAATATATATAGTTATTGAATACTGTTATTTTGTCTTCTATAATCACCATTAAAATTAAAAAATTATTTTTCTTTACAGTAGTTTTAGGTTTTAAGTTTAAGCAACATTCAAATAATCTGGAAGTATTTCAACGGAAAGAAGAAGTAAGGCAAGGAAACAAAAATTTCTCTACGGCAAATTGGTGGTCTCAGCACAAGTAGTAACCAAATGATCTGGACGCAAACGTTTTACAAATAAGTAACTTTCGTTAGAGAGCAAAGGAGTATTAGTGCTTAAATTTCACATAAAACTGGTGGAAAAGATTACGGAACTGTTCAGAACCCAAAACAAGTAAAAAGTGTGAAATGTGGTTAAATGATATAGAATAGAAGATAGTCGATAAATAAGGTTGCCAATAATTGTATTACATTCATTTTAAAAGTTAAAGTAACCGGAAATGTCTGATCTAAGGGACAGACAATACTGAAAAAATTCATAGATGCTAACAGCAGTGGCAATTCACTATCATTAATTGAAGATAAACTATATTTTAGTTCGAATCTTATATTTATTGAACTTTTATTTATTTGATTAATAAATGGTTTAATGGCTTTAAGAGCAAATATTAAACTCAAGGACTAATATATTAGCGCAGCACTGACTTTCGTTAGTTCTGTGTGTAAGATAATTATTATTGTTGTTAGGCGACCGTCGGGTCTATTGAGCCCCCTCTATGGGTGGATTATTGCTTATCACTTCATCGGACTAAGCAATAGCTGACCCCAGATCTGCATATCCCCCCGAGGAGCCTGAAACCATTTTGAGATTCGATAACGCGGTGTTGGTAAGTCTGTCAGTTTTCGCAAAT